CTCCAAATTGTTCTCCACAGTGGCTGGACCAATTTACATTCCCACCAGCAGTGTAAGAGAGTTTCCCTTTCACCACACCCCCGCCTTAATTTGAGTAATTCTTTCATTAAAAAAACTAACAATGATCCTAACAATGAATATTAGTTTTTGTGGTACAGTTTTACTAAATAATTCAACATCTCGTTTCCTAGTTGATATGAAGTCATAACAGATTAAAACCTCAAGTGCTAGTACAACTAGCAAATGGTCATTCTTGTAGAAGTCACTACAATTAATTCCTGAGCAGAAGGTCTGTAAATGAAGTTCTGTCTAATTGAAGGAGCCACAGATTAAAAGGCCACAGCTCCTGGCCCCACTGCAGTGATGCAGGCAGCAGGGTGCCATTGTGTGATATCTGAACCACATAGGAGGCCCAGGTTCAGATCCTGGTCAACCTGAATATACTAGGCACACGGGCATACCTGTGATCTTGACTCAGAAACTAAGGGGAGGGACCACTGCATGGCGAGACCCTGGCAAGGGTTCCTGTTGCTCTCATACTCTCTCTTTCGGAAAGAAATAAGTAAATAAACTTAAACTTTTTTTTTGGAGAGGTTTTTTGTTTTTGTTTTTATTTTTGTTTTTCTATAAAGCACATGCGCTCACCAGAAAGACAGAGAGATGGAAAGCGAGAAATCACTCCCCAGGGGGATGGTCACACCGCAATCCCTTCTCCTCCATTCTCCTCTCAGGATCTTGGGCACACACGCACACACACCTGATGTGAGTTTAAGCCACCGGGTCTGGAACTCAAACCTCAGTTGACTACATGGGAGTCAGTGACATAGCCATTATGCCAACTGCTGGTCCCTAAGTAAATAAAGTTAAAAACAGACACACACAAAAAGCAAACTTAATTCTGTGGTTTTTTTGTTTGTTTGTTTGTTTTGTTTGTTTTTAAAGTAAGAACTAAAGATCTTTTGTTATGGGGCACGAGTGCTTGCCATAGAGAAAGACAGAGAGGGGAAGTGAGAAATCATCCCCCAGAGAATGGTTATACTGCAATCCTTTCTCTTCCATTGTCCTCTCAGGATTTGGGGCACACATGCACAGGGCATGATTTTATTTTCTTATTTTTTTTTAATTTATTTAACTTTATTTATTTATTTTAATTTGACCAAAGAGAGATGGTATGGCCATACCACAATGCCTTCTCCTCCAGCCTCCTCTCAGAATTTAGGGTACACACGTACACACACCCAGCATGATTTTTAAGTCACTGGATCCAAGAGAGACAGACGTGAAGTGAGAAATCATCCCCCAGGGTGGGGGGTTTGCGCAGAATGGCCACGCCGTAATCCCTTCTCTGTTTTCCTCTCTGGATTTGGGGCACGCATGTAAACACATCCAGTGTGATTTTCAAGCCACTAGGTCTGACACTTGAACCGTGGTCAGTCAAGTGGGAGTCCAGCACCTTAACCTATACACCACTTGCTGGTCCCAGTTAGTTAGTTCCTTTTTTTCTCTTTTATTTTTATTTTTTTTTTAAAAGAAATTGTTTCATTTGATTTTATTTATTTTAATTTGACCAGAGAGGGACAGAGTGAGAGAAAGGGAAAGTGAGAAAGCAAGCCACCAGATCTGGGACTCACATCATGGTTGGTCTTGTGGAAATCCAGTGCCTTTAACCACCATGCCACCTGCTGACCCCCAGTTTGTTAGTTCTTAGTCTACCTTTGATTAAAAGTAACTTAGCTAAAATCTGTGCAGATAATCATAAATTCCCCCTTCTGGACAAATTTTAAGTAATAATAACAACAACTAATAAAATTAAATAAATAAATATTTTTAAAAAGAATTACTATAGGGGCCAGCAGGTGGCGTGATGGCTAATGCCCTAGACTCCCACATAGCTGACTGTGGTTCAAGTCCTGAACCTGGCAGCTTGCTTTCTCACTCTCCCTCTCTCTCTGATCAAATACTAGAATAACCATAAATAAAATTAAATAAATAATTATTTTTTTAAAAAAAGTTATTGGAACCAGCAGATGGTGTAATGGTTACGTCACCGGAGTCCCACTAGTCAGCTGCAGTTCGAGTCCCAGACCTGGCAACTTAAAACTTACACTGAGTGCATGTGCATGTGCACCCAAAATCCTGAGAGGAGAGTGAAGGAGAAGGGATTGTAGCATGGCCATCCCCCGGGGTGGGGGGGGGTGATTTTGCACTTTCTATCTCTCTGTCTCTCTCTGTTTCTCCAGATGTGCCCTATACCAAAAATCTCTCAAAAAACAAAGAGTTACTATAACTAGGGGCCAGCAGGGGTCATAGTAGTTAAGGTGCTGGACTCCTACATGGCCAACTGTAGTTCAAGTCCCAGACCTGATGACTTGCTTTCTCACTCTTTCTCTCAATAGGCACATGTGCCCCATAGCAAATTAAAATATTAAAGATAAATAAAATTAAATAATTCTTTATAAAAAGAGTTACTATAATTAACTTTGAGCATATACCATGCCTGTACGTTCATATATGTAATAAATTCCAAGGGGCAGGATTTTCTTTTTTAGAGAGAGATTTTTATTTTAGAGTGCTTACACTCGCCAAAAAGACAGAGACAGAAAGATAGAAAGCGAGAAATCACACCCTCGAAGTGGGGGGGTGGGGGGTGGCCATACTGCAATTCCTTTTCCTCCATTCTCCTCTTGGGAATTTGGGCATGCACGCACAGGCACTCAGCATGAGTTTTAAGCCACCGGGTCTGGGACTTGAACCGCAGTCAGTTATGTAGAAATCCAGCGTCCTTAACCATCACACCACCTGCCGGCCCCTCAAGTAGGATATATCCACATGTATATTTAATGGATGCTGCCAGATCAATCCCTATAAGAAGGGTTACATGCTCAACAGGAGTATTTGTTTCCTTACAACTTCAATAATGTACTGTAGTAATAAACTTCTGTATGTTTGCCAATCTACCTAGAAAAGAGAGGAGAACAGAGAAGGGATTGTGGCATGGCCATCTCCCCTGGGGAGTAATTTCTCACTGTCTGTCTCTCTGTCTCTCTCTAGTGAGCGTGCACACCCTATAGCAAAAATCTCTCTCCAAAAAGAAAAAGACTGCATAATGAGTACTCGAAGCTCACTGTATTACTGTAATTTGTGCACATTTGGACATTTCTATAATTAGGAGTTTAAACATTGCAACCCTGACAAAATGTCTAGAGATTCTTCTCCATGAGAATTCTGACTTGCCGTATCATTTCAATTGATTCCTTGGAATGAAACATGCTGACTGAATTCAGGAAGAACCATTTCACCAAACAGGTAGGTGTGTACTGGGACAGGACTTCATGAAAGACAGCAAGGCCTCTAGAGGATGACTTCTGGCCTAGAAATGCTCAGGACAGCCAATCATTTTTCAGGGATTTCCCCCAATAAAACTAAGCCCCCCCTCCAATCTTTCTTTAGTTTACATAATGACCACTATGTATTTTTTTTTTTAATTCTTTTTGAGAGGTTTTTGCTATAGGGCATGTGCAATTGCCAGAAAGACAGAGAGAGACAGAAAGTGAGAAATCACCCCCCAGGGGGGACAGCCACACCACAATCCTTTCTCCTCCATTTTCCTCTTGGGATTTTGGGCACGCATGTACACATACTCGGTAGGAGTTAAAGCCACTGGATCCAGGATTTGAACCACGGTCAACTACATGGAAGTCCAGCGACATAGCCATTAGACTAACTGCTAGTCCCTGACCACCACGTATTAAGCACCTATGCACAGAACACTGTGGCAGAAGGAACACATAAGGGTTAAGAAGTGGTCTCTGTCCTTAAGAAACCATTCAGGGGGGCACAAGGTGGTGCACTGGCAAAACGTTAAACTCCACAAGGCCAATCCACATGGGAAGGTTCCAGGTTTGCATCCAGCAAACTCCAGGGTTTGCCAAATGCACATTCCATGAGGACCCAAAACCGGCCAAGGCTGGAGGTGGATTATGGTATCAATACCCTGTTGGGGTGCTATTTTTCTCTCTCTCTCCCTCTGCATCTCTCGTTTTGGGCTTGTCTCTGCCTCTGTCAGTCTATGTCTGTTGATCTGTGTCTCTTTGCGTATCTGTCTGTCTGTTTCTATCTCTCTCTGCCCTTTCTCTTGCTCATGGAAAAAGTAATAAACTAAAAAGAAACTCAGTTCAGGTACTCATCAAGTCTTCCAAATGTGTTGAGATATTTGCTAGGGATTCAAAGATAAATATGGATAGTTCCCTCTTCTCTAAGGGTCTTAAAAAACTGTTCCTGATGCTGTATAGGTCAGAATACTAGTGAGTAAAAGTTCCTCTCAGCCTTGAGCATGACAGATTTACCTCAGTTCAGATGCTCTTTGAGTAGCCTACTCCAGATTAGCCCCCAATATATGACCGTAGACTCAATAAAAAATTTATAACTGTAGGGAACACATTTGTTTCCATAACCTAGAATTATTCATATAATCCAAGGTTTATAATCTAGGATCCAATGATTAGACAGGTGCCCTCTCCTGGTAAATTTTAATATTGCAGTCTGACTCAACCAAGTACTGGGCTCAAATTACAGAATTGTGCTGCAGATGGGTCAGGAGGGAAATGTATAGGCATAGAAGAATTTCTTGAGCTAGATAAACCAAACAGCAGACTTGAATGCTATGTACTTAGTTTCAGTATTAATAGAATTTGAGGTTAATGACTCTTGGGATATGAAAATTAACCATAAAATGAAGAGCTAACCAGTAAGTTCTATGCTCCAAGCTTCTGCTTTATGATTACACATGTGCCCGAGAGGAAAGCCTACTTTTAGTGAAATGAGCGAGTGTGAGATATATTGATCCTGTTTTCCTGTGTCACAAACCTGTCATTTTTCCAAGTAATGAATCATGTTGACAAGACGCATTACACTTTATACATTTTTTTCCCTCTCTTTAACTAGAATGTTTGTAATTAAACTACACTTGTCTTTTAAAAGTGAGCTCTACTGCAGTAGAAAATCATTTAAATATTCTTCTTGACCTGGAAAGTTGGTTTACCACTAACATGAACAAGAAGATCCTCTCAATACCTCTTTGCTTTGATGTCCTATCATTGTTATCTGTGATGATCTTCTTGGAATCAGTGCATGGATAACCATATCTTACCCAAGAAAATGAATTGTGCCCAGATGAAAAAGAGAGAAATCTGAGACCAGCAGGTGGCATAATGGCCATGTTGCTGGACTCCCATGTAGTTGACCGTGGTTCAAGTCCTGAACCTGGTGGCTTAAACTTAGGCCGGGCGTGTGTACGTGTGTGCCCAAGGTCCCGAGAAGAGAATGGAGGAGAAGGGATTGCGATATGGCCATCTCCCCCCCACGGGGGGGGGGGGAAGTGATTTCTCGCTTTCTATCTTTCTGTCTCTCTCTGTCTTTCTGGCGAGCGCATGTGCCCTATAGCAAAAACCTCTAAAAAAAAAAAAAAAAAGAAAGAAAGAGAAAGAAAGAAAAGAAAAGAAAAAAGAAAAAAGAGATAAATTATGAGAAACTATTGATGTCTCTACTGAATAAAAATTTTGATTTCCAAAGACCTTCTAACATTGATACAGAACTCACTAACAAACTGGAAAAACTTAACCAGCTGGAAAAGCTTAAAGGACCGCTCACGGAGGCAAAGAACGCGGAGATGCCCTATGAGGCAGATAGTCTGTCTTCCCATCCTAACGAGCAAGCTTGCTTTTGGAAGTACTGGGTCTGAAGATTTCTCTAGATGCAAAAAAGTTAAGACGATTAGAAAAAATACATATTTATTCCTTCTACAGCTTAGACAGTATAGCTGTTTCAATCATAATCTATGGCATTTATTCTGCATATTATTTTTCTTATCTTGCTAACTTGTTACTAAGTGGGTTATAATAGGCTTACAGTTTATGTTGTGGACAGTGACAAATAAACTGCACTTTTGAATGGCATGGGGCTATCAAAATAGCTTTGTAAAGCTAAAGTTGAGAGTATTGTAGCTACTGTATGCTTTCCAAAACTTATTACCGATATAATTTTGTCCTGTGATAACTATGCTTTAATATCAAAAAAAAAATTTTTAAGTAAAAAAGCAGACAGTAGGAAAAAATTCAAAAGGAGAAGGGGAGAATCGAATAAAATAGTAAAATATTATGATTAAAATTTAATAGAAAGTCATAGACTACAATGATTCTAATTCTTTATCATTCTCCCGGCTCCCCTACTTTTCAAGGTACAATCCTGGGCAAGTTCTCTTTGTTCCCTTCCCTATAAAATACATATCATGTTACCTGTGCTATAGGGCTACTGTGAATATCAAATAAAGTCATGCATATAAAGGACTCAGACAGTGTTCGCCCCATAGTAAGTAAGCAGCAGTGTTTGTTTTTATTCTGACGTCAGTCAATTCAAGGTCACTTCACCCCTCCACCTGCCTATCTCCCAGCGTGGATCAAGTTCTTTAACTTGCTAAAAACTCTGATTGAGCTGTTTTCATCATCAGGTATCTCGATCTCACATCGTGTCTCTTTCCTGTAATTCTCTGATGCCTGACTGTTTTCTCTGCTGGGCTGTATGCCCCATGTGGCAGTAGCTACCCCTGGCTTTGCTCACCCTGCATTCCCAGCATGCAGTGCACATCCGGCGTTCAATGAAAATGTTCATTCAAACTGTAGGAAGAATACCAGGAGAATAGGTAATCATCTGCTGTTCTCCTCTCGCCATCACCTAAGAGGTGGTTACAATTTTTAGTTCACTATTAGCAATCTAATGTAATAAATCAGAGAAGTTGTGATTCAAACAGGAAAACCTTTTGTGACTGCCTCCACATTTCAGTATGAAGTGGCCAAGACTCATTTTTGTATAAACAGAGTATTTAATTGTCTCACATTATCTTTAGAGACTAGATACAATCTTGCAGTGAAAGTGGTGGAGCAGGGACATGACTCACCATCGGTGTCTGTGCCTCCTCATCCCTGGTGGGCCAACAGTGAAGGAGTCGGTCACCTCTGGTGCCATCTCCTCACGCTGGATTATACACATGCTTCCTCCACACTGGGGATGCTGTCAGCACGATTTAAGAAAATCCTTTCGGCAGCTTGGACAAGACAAGCTAAAATGTACTTTAACTAGAAATGTAACAGAAGAGTCAAGACTTGGGTGGTCCGTTGAGCTCATTAAAAGGACAACTGATGGGAGAAAGCACACTCTTAACTTTCGGTAGATCAAGCTCTCTAAAAGGTTGTTCCCATTCAGAGGGAGAAGAAAGGGAATGGAAAGGGTCAGGCTCAGAGGCATGAAGACCAAGAACCTCAGGGAATAGGAGACCCCACGATTTCAGTAAGTATCGCTTCTGAATAAAAGCACTGTGGACATATGGGAAAGATTCCTCACACAGAAAGGAGAAAGAACCAAGGCAAATCTTACTACGTAAGTGAAGTTTAGAATATAGCTAAACTTCAGGATGAGATGGGACAGAAACACAAACAAATCAGTCGGTGAGGCTAGATCCAAAGTCAGTTCCTGGGAGAGGCGCTCTTTCCACAAGCTACCACCCAATCACGAACAGTAACCATGAGACTTGCACAACCCTGCCACAGCCCTGTTACGGGTGACCACAGATGCTCCCATAGCAAGGTACACACAGGAAGTGGGGGAAAGGTACACAAGGCAAGGGTCACGGAAAGAAGTGCAGTGTAAGGGAAACTGATAACTCCTTAGAACACAAGGAATCTGCACCCATTCAAGCACAAAGAACTGAAAAAACAAATTGAGGGAGAACGTAAAATATTAACTTATTTTACATTTTATAAAACTTAAGTCAACATTATTAATCAGGAATGTACAGACTACAGGGATATAGAAGGTGGAGGGCCAGCAGGTGGCATGGTGGTTGGGCACTGGACTCCCACATGGCCAACCATGGTTCAAGTTCCAGACCTGGTGACTTGCTTTCTCATTCTTCCTTTCTCTCTGACACTCTCTAGTCAAAATTGAAGAATAATAATAACTAAAATTAAAAATAAATATACTGGGACCAACAGTTGGCATAATGGCTATGTTGCTGGACTCCCATGTAGTCAACCATGGTTGAAGTCCCGGACCCGAAGGCTTAAACTTACGCCGGACACGTGTGCGTGTGTGCCCAAGATCCCTAGAGGAGAATGGAAGAGAAGGGATTGTGGCATGGCCATCCCCCCTAGGGGGTGATTTCTCGCTTTCTGTCTCTCTGTCTCTCTCTGTCTTCCTGGCAAGTGCATGTGCCCTATAGCAAAAACCTCTCCAAAAAAATAAATAAATAAAATAAATATACCTTTTTAAAAAAGATAGACAGTCCTGTATCTTATTTTTAAGCAGAGAAAACAGTTTCAAACAAGTCTGCTCCTTACAAAAAAGCAGTCCAGGGAACCAGCAGTTAGCATAATGGCTACGTTGCTGGACACCCACGTAGTCGACCGTGGTTCACGTCCTGGACCCAGTGACTTAAAACTCACACTGAGCGTGTGTGCGTGCATGCCCAAGGTCCCGAGAGGAGAATGGAGGAGAAGGGATTGTGGCGTGACCATCCCCCCTGGGGGGTGATTTCTCGCTTTCTGTCTCTATGTCTCTCTGTCTGTCTGGTGAGCACATGCGCCCTATAGCGAAAAT